GCAGCAGGGCCATTGGGTCAGCCTGGAGAGCGCATTGCCGAGAATACTCACATGGGGTGAGATCTGGCGGATGACAGCGCTGCGACTGAGCTTTATCGTTCGTTCGGCGTACGATGTATTACCGTCCGGTGTCAACATGGTTAAATGGTCTGCCACCAACGACGACTTGCCGTTGTGCAAATCAAAGCAACTCTTGAGCACGTCCTGTCCGCGTGCAGGAAAGCCCTAGGTCAAGGCCGATATACCTGGCGCCACAACAAGGTGCTAAAGGAGTTAGCAGCCGTTGTCGACCAGGCTAGAATGAGGGCTAACGCCAAGCCAGTTCTAGTATCGCCCCCATTCGTTTCCTCAAGCTGGCAGGTTCCAATCGGTAAAGGTCAACAGAAAAACGCATTCGCTCCATCTGTGCTAGACTCTACAGAAAACTGGTTACTGGCGGTTGATCTGCCAGGACATGAACGGATCCTGAGTTGATCCGTAAAACCGTGCCTGCGACCGGACATCGTTCTCCATTCTGCGCAAAAACGGCAACTCATCCAAGATTGAGTTGACGGTTCCACTTTGAGTCGCGTATGGAGGAGAAATCACTTGTACAAGCTCGAAAAGTACAGTGATTTAGCAGCCGGTTTGAGGAGAAACGAGGCTTACACAGTGCGGGTATTTGCCGTCGAAGTGGGAGCGAGAGGCCTCGTTTCCACTTCGCTCTACATGTGGTAAAAGAACTAGGATTGCGCGGTAATGAACGGAAACGAACACTCAAAAAACTGGGAGAGGCTGCCGAAAGGGCCTCTAGCTGGCTGTGGACGCAGCGCAACAACGTAGGGGACGGGCCTCGGTGAGCTGGTCCGGGTATCTAGTGGAAAAGAGTTTCTCATCCCTTTGAAAAGTCCATCGTGTCCGATTTGTCTGCCAGTGTTCCTCTGCCAACTGCTAATAAAAGTCCAACATGTGTCCGGTAAACCAAAATAAGCTTGTCGCTCGGTCGTCCAGGCACGCTGACTGTTCTAATTAAGCTGCCGTGGCGGCTTCTTATCTCACAGTACCTCCTTCGAAACCACCAAGTCGTCTTGTCTCTGGCCGAAATAATAACACCATCCGGTAATTCTGTGCAGCGGGGAACCAGCCCTGAGCTTCATGAACTCAGGTGGGCCCACCTCCGAATACGTTTAGGAATTGTGGGCCGAAACGTGTGTCGACAGAGGATAATTTCTACTGATGACTGGTAGATCCCCGCTGTACTTGCTCCCTGTGAGTTTATTCTTAAGACAGAATACTGTAATGACAACACTTCTCCCAGAAAACAGCAATAAGTTGATGGTTCACTATAAGACAGAATGAAGAGGGAACAGACAAAGTAAGTACACTCAGGTCTAATTATGTGATTTCACATTGTTGGAAATGACTGATCAAGTTAGTTTCTGTGCTTGCCAGGCTGAAGGTCTGCTGGTGAGAAAATCTCTCAAGTTTGTGCTGGACCCAGAAGCTAAGCACGCCACCTTCAGGCCATCCAGGAAAAACAAGACAATCCTACATGAATCATCAACAATTAAAAGTAAGATGTTTGTGTGGTTCTGGTGTATCACAGATGTTTGTGTGGTTCTGGTGTATCACAGATGTTTATGTGGTTCTGGTGTATCACAGATGTTTGTGTGGTGTATCACAGATGTTTGTGTGGTTCTGGTGTATCACAGATGTTTGTGTGGTGTATCACAGATGTTTGTGTGGTTCTGGTGTATCACAGATTTTGTGTCCAAACTTTCTGGTACACTCACAGATGTTTTGTGTGGTGTAACAGATGTTTGTGTGTGTATCACACTTTGTGTGGTGTTCACAGATGTTACACTTCTGGTGTATCACAGATGTTTGTGTGGTTACACTTCAGTTTAACACACCTACACTCCAGTTTCATCACAAAACCCCAGCTTATTGTCAAATTTACACTCCAGATTAACACATCTGCACTCCACTCAAGCACGTCCACACTCCAGTTTAACACATATACACTCTAATAAGTCATGTTTACACTCCAGTTTAACCATCTACACTCCAGTTTAACACATCGGCACTCATTTTAACATACCTACACTCCATATTATTACATCTACACTCCAGTTTAAAACATCCAAACTCCAGTTTAACACACTTACACTCCAGTTTAACATGTTTACACTCCAGTTTAACATGTCTACACTCCAGTTTAACACATCTACACTCAGTTTAACATACATACACTCCAGTTTAACACACCTACACTCCAGTTTAACATGTCTACACCCCAGTTAAGCACATCTACACTCTAGCATGTCTGCACTCCATTTTAACACATCTACACTCCAGATTAGCCCATCTACACTCCAGTTAAGCCCATCTACACTCCAGTTTAGCACATCTTGTCAAAGTCTGTGGCTTAGGCCTTATGAACACACCTTGTAATTCTGGGTGTTGAGTTCGATCCCAGCTGTGGACGGTTTGTCTTGCATTGGTTTCAACAGTGGACTCAAGAGCTGTTCGTTCAGAAATGCAATGGCAAACTACTTAATGTAAAATGTACCTAGTAAAACCACAACAGCCCAAAAAATTCTAGGTTTGGTTCTGCAACATCCTGTAAAGGATACGCAACTAACTTAGCACATCTACACTCCAGTTTAGCACATCTACACTCCAGTTTAGCATATCTACACTCCAGTTTAGCACATCTACACTCCAGTTTAGCACATCTACACTCCAGTTTAGCACATCTACACTCCAGTTTAGCACATCTACACTCCAGTTTAGCACATCTACACTCCAGTTTAGCATATCTACACTCCAGTTTAGCACATCTACACTCCAGTTTAGCACATCTACACTCCAGTTTAGCACATCTACACTCCAGTTTAGCATGACTACACTAGGATTCAATCATGAACACCATCAGAGGTCTTGTGTCCCTCTACTTGTGTTACTGTGTGTGTGTGTTACTGTGTGTGTGTTACTGTGTGTGTGTTACTGTGTGTGTGTTACTGTGTGTGTGTGTGTGTTACTGTGTGTGTGTTACTGTGTGTGTGTTACTGTGTGTGTGTTACTGTGTGTGTGTGTTACTGTGTGTGTGTTACTGTGTGTGTGTTACTGTGTGTGTGTTACTGTGTGTGTGTGTTACTGTGTGTCATCATTGTGTGTTACTGTGTGTGTGTGTATATGACAGTCAACTGTTTCATACTGTGTCATTGTGTACATGTCTCTTACTGTGTGTATATAAAAGTAAACTTACTGTGTGTGTGTGTTACTGTGTGTGTGTGAAAGTTACTGTGTGTGTGTTACTGTGTGTGTGTGTTACTGTGTGTGTGTTACTGTGTGTGTGTTACTGTGTGTGTGTTACTGTGTGTGTGTGTTACTGTGTGTGTGTTACTGTGTGTGTGTGAGAGGAAACAGTTCAGCCTTGTTCAGACTTATTGATGCTTTTCTTGGAGGCACTCAAACGGGTACTCTCCCACCATTTACACTTGAGCTTGACATTGCACGATTCAAGAGTACCAGAATGGGATTGGAGTCATTACTTTGTACTTATGTACTGATATTTGACCAGTAATTGTATCTCTTTCACCTTCTGTTACTACTACTTGTCTCTGGTACTACCTATGATCTGTCTGTGACAGTGCTTATTTAGTTTGTTGTAGTCCCACTCACAAATTTGTATATTTCAATGATTGATAACAAGATCGTGTGTATGAAAACTGTCTCCCTCATAGATGTGTTTGACCTCAAGAACAAGGAGCAACACACGACTATTGACCTTGCCCTTCCCACAAATGTCATCCGAGGAACCGAATCCTGCCGCATCTTAGCCTTCGGTCTTTCAATATCAAGACATACCAAATACCTGTCTTGCTCATCATTGTCTTTCATACTCAAGCCAAATATCTCTCTGCTACAGGGGATATATGACAGTCAACTCTTTCATACTCAAGACATACCAAATACCTTTCTCTGCTCCAAGGGGTATATGACAGTCAACTCTTTCATACTCAAGACTTACCAAATACCTCTCTCTGCTACAAGGGATATATGACAGTCAACTCTTTTCTACTCAAGACATACCAAATACCTCTCTCTTCTCCAAGCGATAAATGACAGTCAACTCTTTCCTACTGGACATACCAAATACCTCTCTCTGCTACAAGGGATATATGACAGTCAACTCTTTCCTACTGGACATACCAAATACCTCTCTCTTCTCCAAGGGGTATATGACAGTCAACTCTTTCCTACTCAAGACATACCAAATACCTCTCTCTTCTCCAAGGGATATATGACAGTCAACTCTTTCCTACTCAAGACATACCAAATACCTCTCTCTGCTACAAGGGATATATGACAGTCAACTCTTTCATACTGGACATACCAAATACCTCTCTCTTCTCCAAGGGATATATGACAGTCAACTCTTTCATACTCAGAACATACCAAAACCTCTCTCTGCTACAAGTGGTATATGACAGTCAACTCTTTCATACTCAAGACATACCAAATACATCTCTCTGCTACAAGGGATATATGACAGACAACTCTTTCATACTCAAGACATACCAAATACATCTCTCTGCTACAAGGGATATATGACAGACAACTCTTTCATACTCAAGACATACCAAATACCTCTCTCTGCTACAAGGGATATATGACAGACAACTCTTTCATACTCAAGACATACCAAATACCTCTCTCTGCTTACAAGTGATATATGACAGTCAACTCTTTCATACTCAAGACATACCAAATAGCTATCTCTGCTCAAGGGGTTCACTGCACCAGGATTGTATCCCAAATGGCCTAGTCACTCCCTACAGAAGAGTCAGCTGCCTACTGAAAACACAAGCTCCATAGCTCTATTGACTTTCCCTGAAAGATCTCTGCAGACATGTACTCGTTATTGAAATGATGCAGTCCGTGAAACAAACTGATAATCTTGAGAGCTTGAGATAGATGGCTTCACTTCTGAATCATGGATACAACAGTCATGGATACAACAGTCATGGATACAACAGTCATGGATACAACAGCCATGGATACAACAGTCATGGATACAACATTCAGTGATACAACAGTCATGGATTCAACAGTCATGGATACAACCATCATGGATACAACAGTCATGGATACAACAGTCATGGATACAACAGTCATGGATACAACAGTCATGGTTACAACAGTCATGGATACAACAGTCATGGATACTACAGTCATGGATACAACAGTCATGGATACAACAGTCATGGATACAACAGTCATGGAAACAACAGTCATGGATACAACAGTCATGAATACAACAGTCATAGATACAACAGTCATGGATACAACAGTCATGGATACAACAGTCATTGGATACTTGAGATGTACAACATACTTTTCTCTGTCACATGAATTACACAATATTTTTCAATCTGCTAAATGAGATATACAACATTTATATAAGTTATACAACATTGTCCTCCTTCTACATATTTTTTTCTCTGCCACGTAAAATATCATCTTCATGTAGCAGGTTCTTGCATAACGTCACTTTCATCACAAAAAGATGCCCAAAAGAAATTTGTTGGCTCACCAACTCTCCTCCTCTGGTGCACTTTCCTGCCCAAGGTATCATTTTTATCCTGTGCCCTTCTTCATATTGGTTGGCCCCTGCCCCTCTTTTCCAGTACCATGCCCTCCTCAACTATTCTGTGCAATCCACCATGCTGCTTGATAGGGCCCAAATATTTTAGTTGCAGAAGCAAGATATTAATGTTTTTGACACATGAGACATGTTTCTGTGTGTCAGCTAGAATGAGTCACATTTCTGTTTGGCACCTGCCCAGGTGACCTCATGGGTGACATCATCACTCACGCTGTGGTAGAGTCCAGGAACCTCATCGATACACCCCTACTGGATGCAGAAGAGGTGCTGGGCGACCTTGCCCCAACCATCCACGCCTTGCTGTCAGTACAGGCACTTGGTCTGATGGATGAGAATTTGAAGGAGAGAGGAAAGAATTTTGTACGAAATGGTGAGTCATTGAAGGACGTGAGTTGTAGGTTTGTATGACATGGTGAGTTATTGAAGGACATGAGTTGTAGGTTTGTATGACATGGTGAGTTACTGGAGGACATGAGTTGTAGGTTTGTATGACATGGTGAATTTTAGAAGGACATGAGTTGTAGGTTTGTATGACATGGTGAGTTATTGAAGGACATGAGTTGTAGGTTTGTATGACATGGTGAATTTTAGAAGGACATGAGTTGTAGGTTTGTGTGACATGGTGAGTTACTGGAGGACATGAGTTGTAGGTTTGTGTGACATGGTGAGTTATTGAAGGACATGAGTTGTAGGTTTGTGTGACATGGTGAGTTATTGAAGGACATGAGTTGTAGGTTTGTGTGACATGGTGAGTTATTGAAGGACATGAGTTGTAGGTTTGTGTGACATGGTGAGTAATTGAAGGAATGAGTTGTAGGTTTGTGTGACATGGTGAGTTATTGAAGGACATGAATTGTAGGTTTGTGTGACATGGTGAGTTATTGAAGGACATGAGTTGTAGGTTTCTGTGACATGGTGAGTTATTGAAGGACATGAGTTGTAGGTTTATATGACATGGTGAGTGAAAGACATGAGTTGTAGGTTTGTGTGACATGGTGAGTGAAAGACATGAGTTGTAGGTTTGTGTGACATGGTGAGTTATTGAAGGACATGGGTTGTAGGTTTATATGACATGGTGAGTTATTTAGGGAGATGGGATGTAGGTTTGTGTGACATGGTGAGTTATTGAAGGACATGAGTTGTAGGTTTGTGTGACATGATGAGTTATTGAGGGAGATGGGTTGTAGGTTTGTGTGACATGGTGAGTTATTTAGGGAGATGGGTTGTTGGTTTGTGTGACATGGTGAGTTATTGAGGGAGATGGGTTGTAAGTTTGTGTGACATGGTGAGTTATTTAGGGAGATGGGTTGTTGGTTTGTGTGACATGGTGAGTTATTGAGGGAGATGGGTTGTAAGTTTGTGTGACATGGTGAGTTATTTAGGGAGACGGGATCTAGGATTGAGTGCCATAGTGAGTTACTGAGGGAGACAGGATCTAGGTTTGTGTGACGTAGTGAGTTACTGAGAAAGATTCGATTTAGTGTGGCAATGTCTTGACTAGATAGCCACTGGCTCATCACGGCTATGTCTAATGACCACAAACTCTGTATCTGAATGGTCTTTTACTAATCAGCACACAATCACCTCTTCCTCTTTACGATTGAACAGGCACACTGACATTAAGCTGTGACTATAGGATGAGTCAGTCTGTTTAATTGTAAGGCCTCAGGCAGTCAGCACATTCAATAATGTGACAACGTAAAATACATACAGTTTGTTGGTTCTGTCCTCATGACGCTAATGATAATCCAGTTATGAATCGCCTCAACTTAAATCCAAATAAATGAATGTTCCATGAAATAAACAACCTAACACTCTTCTCATACAAAGCTAAACTGAGTACGAAAAGCCCCTTAAACACGAAGCAGAATTAAAGAGAAAAAAAATGTATGCCCATCCCATCTCGTATGACTTTGCTTCAAGCATGTCTTAACATATCAAGTGGAGGTTGGTCATCTTGCTTCCAGCTCTTATGATTCATTGGGGGTTCCCAGCTAGAACCCTATTTCAAACTGCTTGCCTCCTTTTTCATACTTCTGTCCTGCAGTCTGTCCTTCCAGGCTCATGTTACCATCCTAGAGTCAGCTTTTGAGTGATTTCTAATCAAACTGAGCTGTCTCTCAAGGGTGTCCAGCTGTTATATAGAGTAGAACGTCAAGATGTCACATGTTCTATTCCTTGTGATCTGACTGGTTAACTGTCAGAAAGTATTTAAAACTGAAAAAAAACGAAGGGTTCATTTCTTACAAGGGCTTTCAGTTGTGTTCCCTGAGGAGTATTTTTGCAGTCTTATTTTAAACTGCACACATGTCCTTTTAATTTGTACGGCTAAAGTGATCCCAACTTTATAACAGTAGGTTTGTGTGATACGGTGAGTTATATGTGAGTAATATGAAATGGGATGCAAGAATGTGCAACATGGTGAGATACAAAGTGAGAGGTGATGCAAGTATGTATGACCCTGTGAGTTACTGAGAGAGAGAGAACACATGATTTTGTAATATAGCAACTATTTTTGGAGAGTGGATACAATAATATGTACTTTTGTCATAATGCATATCTGTATGAGCTGTGTGCATAATGTGCTTGTTAACAATCTTAAAAAATATTTATATTTTACACTAACATTGTTGCAAATATTTTGTATTCATATTTCATGATCACAAAATGTGTTCTTTTGTCCTGGCCTCACTTTGAACCGCACATTTACTTATTGTCAGGGTATTGTTCTACTATTTGCTGCGGTATAGCACATTTGTGAATAGAGATGGTACATTTGTTTAGTTCATAATTTGTTGACTGCCACAGGAATGTGACAAAATACATATTTTGTTTTGGTTCTCTCCAGGAGTTACTAGAGTGACAAATTACAGAAATGATGATCACAGTTTTTCATTAACATCTGGATTCAAACCAAGCACCTGGTATTTATTGTTTTGTCAGTGCTAAAATATTTGTTAATGTACACAATGTTTTTGTTCATGTACAAAATGTTTTTGTTAATGTACACACTGTTTTTGTTAATGTACACAATGTTTTTGTTAATGTACACAATGTTTTTGTTCATGTACACAATGTTTTTGTTAATGTACACAATGTTTTTTGTTCATGTACACAATGATTTTTGTTAATGTACACAATGAAAAGTGTAAACTTAGATGGTTTTAGTTTGTTACAGTCTCAGACAATGTTGCAATATTCTGTCTCAGGTTGACAGCGTTTGTGCTGAAGACTTTGTGCCATGGAAGTTCCCTGGCTTTCATTGACAAACAGCTGATTTCTGCGGGGTTTAACTGGTTGTTTCATCAGATCAAAAATGATGGCTCGCTGAAAGAACAAGATAGGAGAATAGCTAAGGTAGTTGTTCCTGGCCACTGTTTCTGTATGTCTTGCTGTGATTGGCCACTGATTCTGTCTGTCTTGATATGACTGTCTGCTGATCCTGCCTGTCTTGTGATCGACTGCTGATCCTGTCTGTCTGTCTTGTGATTGGCTGCTGATCCTGTCTGTGTTGTTGTGATTGGCTGCTGATCCTGTCTGTCTTGTCCATTAACAATTATATTATGTATCAAAACTTTCTGTGTCAGTAAATTCAACACATTTGTTGGTCGTTCTTTTTAACTCTTTCTATCTCAAATAATGCATCATGTGTACTCAGCCTATGTGTATCATTGCTTTTATTTTCATTTTTCATGTTTGGCCTAGGTATGCAAAAGAAATCTGGTCAGGTATTTTAAAAGCAGCACAGTATGCGGTATCTTTTAGAGTCATAGGCTAGTGCTTCTTTCACTGCGTGTATTGCGCTAGACTGGTTTTTTACTTTATGACTGAAATCGTTACAAAAATAAGATTGCTCTCTTAAATCCAACATATATATTTGTCTTTCTAAATAAAACAAAAAGATTGCAACGATAAATCATTCTCTACATTCTGATTGTCAGATATGTTTAGTTTTCATCTTGTTATCAGTCAAAGTTATTTTCATCTGATGCCATACACGATTGTGTTTTCTATGTTTGTAACATTGGTTCACTTACCTTTCTGTGTAAATTTATCCAGCCTGGCCAAGTCAGACTACTGACAGTCAACTTTTTTGCTCTTGGTGTCTGCAACAAGACCTACACAGTGCTGTTGGTAAATACACTAATCAGTACTACGATACTGAAATCTGATTTTCCCTGTGTGGCTTCCGGGGCCCCATTGTGTGGAAAATGAAAACAGTCACACTGCCTCCCAACAAGCATGTCATAGGAGTTGACTAATCAGGAGCTTCATTTGAAATCAGAGTGTCTCTGCCCGAGTGACAAGGAACAACCAGCTGCACACGTATAAGCCAGTGAAATGGAGGTATACACAACTCAGCCCTGGCACAAAGCCAAAGTCCAAATGGACGAACAACCAGGGATTTTCTGTCGGAGCTTACAGCTGGTGAACACAGAAGAAAAAAAATTTGATTTAGCCTTCGTTTGCACAAGAAACTGGTAGTGGGTACATGTCTGCCAGTCTTCTTCTTCTGCCCATTATCTCCTGTAGAAGCATAAGACACCACCCCACTCCCTACAATAGATTCAAAACTTGTATATATTTTTTTGGTTTAATTCTCTGCATGAGGCTGTACAGTGCAAGAATAGTCTAGTGCTGTTACTACTTCGCTACTGACCGTGTATCGTGTTCAATATTAGCATATTTAAATCTCTTTTTGGGTGTGGGGGAGGGGGAGAAGTAAAGCTTTTTACAAAAGACTGGTTTTAATATAAGAATGCTTCCATACAAGGCTATGGTCCGTGTTGGTGTCAGTAGTTCACCATCTCACATGACTGCCTGAATCACATATCAAGTCTGTGTTCTTGTACTGCCCAAACCATAGGGTCATGCTAAAAAAGAATGTATCTTTTTGATTTCCCCTGGCTGCAGGTCCCGCACATCCAACAGACAATGTGACGTGTTTAGATGACATGATCATACATGTTTATGTGTTGACTTTTTTTAGCACGTCACAGAACACGACCTGATGCTCAGTGCTGAAGTTCTTATTGCCATCATGGAATGTCAGAATTATAACCAGGTACAGTGTCCTTCACTCTGTGTATGTGTGTGTGTGTGTGTGTGTAGGGAGAGAAATGGAGAGAAAAAAGAGAGATGGAAAGACAGAGAGAGGAAAAAGAGAGAGGAAAGAGAGAGAGAGAGAGAGAGAGAGAAAAGAGAGAGGAAAGACAGAGAAAAACACACACAGAGAAACAGCGAGAGAGATAAAGAGAGAGAGAGAAAAGACAGAAAGAGAAAGAAGGAGAGTAAAGACAGAGAGAGCGATGGAGAAAGAGAGAGATTAGGTTTTGTCTGAAAATAAAAACTTCAGTGATGTGTGAGATAAGAATTCTTCTTCTTCTTCTACCTTTCTATCCCCCAATGGAGCATAGGCCCTCAACCAACTCACGCCAAGTCGTTCTATCCTTCACCATTACATGGAGCTATCCCCATGTCCTCCCAATCTTTCTAACTTCATTCTCCAGCTCTTTTCTCCATGTGTTTTTTGGCCTTCCTTTATTCCTATGCCCCTGTGGGTTCCAATGCAAAGACATTCTAGTTATGCTGTTCTTCTGTTTTCTCAGTGTGTGCCCTATCCAACGCCAGCGTCTTTTCCTCACCTCTTGGTTCACTGGAGCCTGTTTACTTCTATCCCAAAGTTCTACATTAGTTATTCTATCATACCATTTTATTCTCTCTATTCTGCGCAGGCACCAGTTAATGAATGTCTGTAATTTATTAGTAATTGCCTTGGTTGTTCTCCATGTTTCGGCCCCATACAATAGTACTGATTTGACATTAGAATTAAAAATTTTTAGTTTAGTATTTCTTTTAATTTCTTTTGACCTCCACAAATTCCCTAGTGCCATGAAAGCCCCTCTTGCCTTTTGTATTCTTATTTTAATATCTCTATCAGTTCCTCAATCTTAATCTACATTAATGCCTAAATAGGTGTACAACTCCACGTCTTGGAGTGGGGTGCCATTAAGAGAAACCACATTACTATTTGCCTGATTTATTCTCATTATCTTTGTCTTTCCTTTATGGATTTTCAGACCAAGCTGCTGTGATCTCGCATCAAGTATATTTAATTTATTTTGCATCTGATTCCGTAAATGGGACAGAAGAGCAATATCATCAGTGAAGTCCAGATCATCAAGCTGTTTTGTAGGGGTCCACTGAATTCCATTCTTGGTGTTAGCAGTTACTGTTTTCATAGTCCAGTCTATAGCCAGTAAAAATAAGAGAGGCGACAAAAGACATCCCTGTCGCACACCTGTTTTTATTTCAAATGCATCTGTTAGCTTTCCCTAATGAAGAACTCAACATTTCATGTCTTTATATGTTGCCTTTACTAAGTTAATAATTTTCTGTGGGATTCCATAGTGCCCCATCAATTTCCAGAGAGATTCCCTATCAATGCTGTCAAATGCTTTTTCATAGTCTATAAATCCAATGTAAAGTGGTGAGTTCAGTTCAATGCTTTGCTCTATTATAATACGTAATGTGGCTATCTGATCAGTACAGGATCTGTTTGACCGAAAACCTGCCTGCTCATCTCTTAGCATTTTATCAATAGCATCTTTTAATCTTTCCAAAATAATTCTACTTAATATTTTTCCAGGAACTGATAGCAACATAATTCCTCTATGAGATAAGAATTACCATACACATAATGGTAGCCAACAGTCTATAGCAGTAGAAAATCTGAATGTCTCTCACATAAAGGTCGTTGTGGCATTGAAAGACAAGTCCTGAGAGGTTTTGGTAGTATAAAATAGAATGTAACAAACACTTACAGTTGTATGGCTGATGCGTTTGCTACAATTTAACTGGGTGAGAACTAAGACCTGAGCTAAGAACTATGACCTGTGCTAAGAACTATGACCTGTGCTGAGAACTATGTCCTGGACTGAGAACTATGACCTGGGCTAAGAACTATGACCTAGGCTGAAGACTATGACCTAGGCTAAGAACTATGACCTAGGCTGAGAACTATGACCTGGGCTGAGAACTATGACCTGGGCTAAGAACTATGACCTGGCCTGAGAACTATGACCTGGCCTGAAAACTATGAACTGGGCTGAAAACTATGAACTGGGCTGAGAACTATGACCTGGGATAGGGACTATGACCTGAGCTAAGAACTATGACCTGGCCTGAGAACTATGACCTGGGCTAAAAACTATGACCTGGGCTGTGAACTATGACCTAGGCTGAGAACTATGACCTGGGCTAATAACTATGACCTGGACTGAGAACTATGACCTGGCCTGAGAACTATGACCTGGGCTAAGAACTATGACCTGGGCTAAGAACTATGACCTGGCCTGAGAACTATGACCTGGGCTGAGAACTATGACCTAGGCTGAGAACTATGACCTAGGCTGAGAACTATGACCTAGGCTAAGAACTATGACCTGGGCTGAGAACTATGACCTGGGCTAAGAACTATGGCCTGGGCTCAGAACTATGACCTGGGCTAAAAACTAATGTTGTGAAGTATTTAGATGCTCACTTTCCAACTCTAAGGTTAAAAACTTGATGTTTATCTATCTAAAATTGACCATAGCTCCCAGTTTAACTCAGCATAAAATGTATAACAGGAAATATCCTGGGAAATAAAGGTGGCTGGCTTGATGTTGACCACATCACCCACCAAGTATCAGTGGTGTGTAAAATATAGGTTGGCTCTTTATGTCCTATGAGCCTAAAATGGGGAAAATGTTCCTTTGTTTACTCTCTAACCTGTGGTGTGTGGTTCCTACTCTCTGACCTGTGCTGTGTGGTTCCTACTCTCTGACCTGTGCTGTGTGGTTCCTACTCTCTGACCTGTGCTGTGTGGTTTCTACTCTCTGACCTGTGCTGTGTGGTTTCTACTCTCTAATCTGTGCTGTGTGGTTCCTACTCTCTGACCTGTTCTGTGTGGTTCCTACTCTCTGACCTGTGCTGTGTGGTTTCTACTCTCTGACCTGTGCTGTGTGGTTTCTACTCTCTGACCTGTGCTGTGTGGTTTTTACTCTCTGACCTGTTCTGTGTGGTTTCTACTCTCTGACCTGTGCTGTGTGGTTTCTACTCTCTGACCTGTGCTGTGTGGTTCCTACTCTCTGACCTGTGCTGTGTGGTTTCTACTCTCTGACCTGTTCTGTATGGTTTCTACTCTCTGACCTGTGCTGTGTGGTTTCTACTCTCTGACCTGTGCTGTGTGGTTTCTACTCTCTGACCTGTTCTGTGTGGTTTCTACTCTCTGACCTGTGCTGTGTGGTTTCTACTCTCTGACCTGTGCTGTGTGGTTCCTACTCTCTAACATGTGCTGTGTGGTTTCTACTCTCTAATCTGTGCTGTGTGGTTCCTACTCTCTAATCTGTGCTGTGTGGTTCCTACTCTCTGACCTGTGCTGTGTGGTTCCTACTCTCTGACCTGTGCTGTGTGGTTTCTACTCTCTGACCTGTTCTGTGTGGTTTCTACTCTCTGACCTGTGCTGTGTGGTTCCTACTCTCTGACCTGTGCTGTGTGGTTTCTACTCTCTGACCTGTGCTGTGTGGTTTCTACTCTCTGACCTGTGCTGTGTGGTTCCTACTCTCTGACCTGTGACCTGTGTGGTGGTTCTACTCTCCGACCTGTTCTGTGTGGTTTCTACTCTCTGACCTGTTCTGTGTGGTTTCTACTCTCTGACCTGTGCTGTGTGGTTTCTACTCTCTGACCTGTTCTGTGTGGTTTCTACTCTCTGACCTGTGCTGTGTGGTTTCTACTCTCTGACCTGTGCTGTGTGGTTCCTACTCTCTGACCTGTGCTGTGTGGTTTCTACTCTCTGACCTGTGCTGTGTGGTTTCTACTCTCTGACCTGTGCTGTGTGGTTTCTACTCTCTGACCTGTGCTGTGTGGTTTCTACTCTCTGACCTGTGCTGTGTGGTTTCTACTCTCTGACCTGTGCTGTGTGGTTCCTACTCTCTGACCTGTGATGTGTGGTTTCTACTCTCTGACCTGTGCTGTGTGGTTTCTACTCTCTGACCTGTGCTGTGTGGTTTCTACTCTCCGACCTGTTCTGTGTGGTTTCTACTCTCTGACCTGTTCTGTGTGGTTTCTACTCTCTGACCTGTGCTGTGTGGTTTCTACTCTCTGACCTGTTCTGTGTGGTTTCTACTCTCTGACCTGTGCTGTGTGGTTTCTACTCTCTGACCTGTGCTGTGTGGTTCCTACTCTCTGACCTGTGCTGTGTGGTTTCTACTCTCTGACCTGTGCTGTGTGGTTTCTACTCTCTGACCTGTGCTGTGTGGTTTTTACTCTCTGACCTGTTCTGTGTGGTTTCTACTCTCTGACCTGTGCTGTGTGGTTTCTACTCTCTGACCTGTGCTGTGTGGTTCCTACTCTCTGACCTGTGCTGTGTGGTTTCTACTCTCTGACCTGTTCTGTATGGTTTCTACTCTCTGACCTGTGCTGTGTGGTTTCTACTCTCTGACCTGTGCTGTGTGGTTTCTACTCTCTGACCTGTGCTGTGTGGTTCCTACTCTCTGACCTGTGCTGTGTGGTTTCTACTCTCTGACCTGTGCTGTGTGGTTTCTACTCTCTGACCTGTGCTGTGTGGTTTCTACTCTCTGACCTGTGCTGTGTGGTTCCTACTCTCTGACCTGTGCTGTGTGGTTTCTACTCTCTGACCTGTGCTGTGTGGTTCCTACTCTCTGACCTGTGCTGTGTGGTTCCTACTATCTGACCTGTTCTGTGTGGTTTCTACTCTCTGACCTGTGCTGTGTGGTTTCTACTCTCTGACCTGTGCTGTGTGATTCCTACTCTCTAGCCTGTGCTGTGTGGTTCCTACTCTCTGACCTGTGTTGTTTGTCTGCAGAAAATGCACTTGTACCTTCAGCAGTCTCACCTGAGCCATCAGACTCAAGTGTCCATCTACCTGAAGACTAACCTCCAGCGGATCAGAGACCCAATGGTCCTGGCCAAAGTGACCTATGCCCTGATGTTGTTTGATCCAGAGTCAGACACGTTTCTGCAGGCTGCCCACCAGCTCAACAATCACAAGAGGAAGAACAGGCAAGGTCAGTGAGAGGTCGTAGTTCATTGGTTACTGGACGATGTTTTCAGACACACTGATAATTTTTCTTTCTCTGCAGGCCACACCCACAACACACAGGCTGCACCTACAGGCCACACCCACACACCACACCCACACACCACACCCACATGTCACACCCACATGTTACACCCACATGCCACACCCACATGTCACACCTACTGAAACAGGGAGACATCATCAACTGTTTGTCAGGAATTAGGATATTGTGTATAATTTATTAAAATAACAAGCCTTGGTAACCTTGACATTCCTTTCTAGAACCAATGTTTGTTTATTAGCAGAGAGTTATTTGGAAATGAATAATCCATAAATAGTATCTGAAGAAATGTTTTTAAAAGCGCCCGAAAAAAAGAGAACACAGTAGTGCCCTTTCTAGAAGTCCCCCAGAAGGCCAACTGTTAATTTATTAGGCGAATTTTTGTGAGTTATCTGATGTAAAAGAGATGTAATTAGGAAATCCCACGATGAGAAACAAGTTTTTAACATACAAGAATTTTCTAGAAGAAGTTAATGAGTAGAAAACACACTGAATACATACCAGCGTATCAGTATAAATAGTGGATAAGTGGCCACTTGAGCAACCTTCATTCTGCAAGACTTAGAAGAGGAGGGACTAGTAACATGGACCCTCAAAGAGATCTTTTAGTCAGCCAGAATTAGAAGAGAAAGGACTAGCAACAGGGACCCTCAAAGAGAACCTTTAGCCGTTGAAACTCAGAGAATGAGGGACTAGTCTCATTGAACCTCACAGTCGAGAGCCTTCAGTTGTGGAGATGACAGCTCAACACCAGAAAAAGAGGAACCAGTCACATTGAGCCTCGAAGACAGACATTAGAGAGGATACATGAAACGAGACATCAAACTACAGAGACAACAGACAAGATACATGGATCCATGGTTAAAAGAAACACATCAGATGGAAACACTGTTGAGACGTTATGAGTCAACAATTAAGCCATTAGTACCAGAATGTTGACTGTTGAATTAAGATTTGACATCACAGCACGTGGGACACTCCCATAAGTGCTCAGTCCCCATCTTCAGCAGCAAGAAAAGAGTTCTAATTCCGATGGTACCAGTAACCATCTGTTTGTATATCCATCTTATCCTTGCCCTGAGTGTTAAGCGTTGGCCAGATCCCCTGGTAACTCCTCGCAGCGCCATTCTCCTTAAACCATAATGATTGATCTGCACCTCCACACTCACTCCTAAAGGGCCCTGACAATATCTCACTTGTTAGACATCAGTTCACCACCAAGTGGTGCAGAGCCAGCCAGTCTATTTACCTGCTCATATCCCAACACACCGGCTTGAACTAGAGAAAATATCCAAAGGATGCTAACTACCTCGGACCTCTGAAATGATGCTTGCTACTCTGCACAAAGCATGCCTGTCTTCACCCTTCTCAGCCTGCTCTGTGAGTCAGTTACAATCACGGCATGTGTGTACAGCTGATTCTCAAGCCATCAGAATACAGCAGAGACTGCTTCCACCGCGATTCTCAAAGTAGATGTTCTGATATCATATGCAAGGTTTTGCTGCACTAGGTGACGTCCATTCAGCTTTGGGCTATCCTCCAAATAACGGCCACATATTATGACGGCCAAAAACAGGACCTCAGTCACATGTAAATTGCATACTTCTGGCGACTATACCGCCACCGCGGAGAGTATCTCTCAGGGCTAAACTAGATGGCTGGGACTCATGAGCAAAGATGCAGAAGCTGCTGCTCGTGAGTCCCAGCCATCTAGTTTAGCCCTGCTCTGTGCCACGCGTAGCGGCGCGAGAGATACTCTTGGCAGTAGCAGTATAGACGCCGGTCTGAAATGTAAGTGGAAGTCGCCAATTTACATGTGACTGAGGCCCTGTCAGGGTGTGTTTTTGGCCGCCATAATATGTGGCCGTTAATCGGAGGATAGCCCAGCTTTGCTTTGAAACCCCATGCTCATTAGTACCAGACAGCACTAGAAGCCAGGTGGCAGTTGCAGAAACTAGAATCACTTAACAAAGTACCTAGAGATAAATGCCACCTCTAGAGTATGTAACCATAGAGCTAAAACAGCAGCCATTCAGAATATCATTAATGTTATTTGTGACATTGCTGAGTTATCACAATAAAAACAGTATAGATAAGGAATAGTTGTTTTACATTTTATTATAAAATCATTAGAGTCACGTGAGCAGCATGCAGCTAGCAAGACATCATTATCATCACCACTTTTGACACAACCATCTTTCTCCTCGTCTATATTCTCTTTCGATTGACTCTTCCTGTAGCAACTAAAGACAAACCTGGGTGTGACATCAACAAATGACAAAAAGACAGATGTGCTACAGTACTACTGCGGACCAACCTACAAGCCACACATACAGGCCACACATACAGATCACACATACAGGCCACACATACAGGGCACACATACAAGGCACACATACATGCCACACATACAGGCCACACATACAGATCACACATACAGGGCACACATACAGGCCACACATACAGGGCACACATACAGGGCACACATACAGGGCACACATACAGGCCACACATACAGGCCACACATACAGGCCACACATACAGGGCACACATACAGGGCACACATACAGATCACACATACAGGGCACACATACAGGCCACACATACAGATCACACATACAGATCACACATACAGATCACACATACAGATCACACATACAGATCACACATACAGGGCACACATACAGATCACACATACAGGGCACACATACAGATCACACATACAGGGCACACATACAGATCACACATACAGGGCACACACACAGATCACACATACAGGGCACACATACAGATCACACATACAGGGCACACATACAGATCACACATACAGGGCACACATACAGATCACACATACAGGGCACACATACAGATCACACATACAGGGCACACATACCGGCCACACATACAGATCACACATACAGATCACACATACAGATCACACATACAGATCACACATACAGATCACACATACAGGGCACACATACAGGCCACACATACAGATCACACATACAGGGCACACATACAGGCCACACATACAGATCACACATACAGGGCACACATACAGGCCACACATACAGGCCACACATACAGGCCACACATACAGATCACACATACAGGCCACACATACAGATCACACATACAGGGCCACACATACAGGGCACACACACAGATCTCACATACAGGGCACACACACAGGCCACACATACAGATCACAGAGGGCACACACACAGAGCACACATACAGGACACACATACAGGGCACACATAGAGGGCACACACACAGATCACACATACAGGGCACACATGCAGGGCACATGCACAGGGCACACATACAGATCACACATAGAGGGCACACACACAGAGCACACATACAGGACACACATACAGGGCACACATACAGGCCACACATACAGATCACACATAGAGGGCACACATACAGGGCACACATACAGGGCACACATACAGGGCACACATACAGGGCACACATACAGGGCACACATACAGGGCACACGTACAGGGCACACATACAGATTACACAAACAGATCACACATACAGGGCACACACACAGATCACACATACAGATCACACATAGAGGGCACACACACAGATCACACATACAGGGCACACATACAGGGCACACATACAGGGCACACATACAGGCCACACCGAGAGGCCACACACACAGGTCACACCTATAGACCACACCTATAGACCACATGTATAGACCACACCTTCAGGCCACACCTATAGACCACACCTTCAGGCCACACCTAAAGGCCAAACCTATAGACCACACTTTCAGTCTGCACCTAAAGACCACACCTACATTTCATATGTAAACGATGGCATAGAAGAGAACTGACACAGCAAATGTCTTTTTAAAAACCCACTCCATTCACTAGGTCATTTCCTGTCTGTTAGTTCTTTCATTCACTCCTTGATCTCTGGATTATTCATTTAACCATTTGCTTCCTGTGCAGGCCATATCTACTGGTCTAAGATTGAAGAGACAAACGAAGCCAAAAACATTCCATTGTGGTATTGCCAGGTGGCACATTCAACAGCCATCGAAGCCACAGCCTATGCCCTACTAGTCTTCCTAAGACATGGAAGCACCAACACCGACGCCATTGCTGACTGGCTAGTTGGCCAGAGAAATTGTAATGGTGCTTTCATTGGAGCCATGGTAAGTGAAATATTTGGGGAGACAAACTGGTCTCTATTTGTTCATATTTTTTGGCTACTATGAAGGGGCACACTCTGTGTTCAGTTCTGGACTCTAATATTTCAATGTGTTCAATTCCTGACTGTGATATTTCAATGTGTTCAGTTCTGGTCTGTGATATTTCAATGAGTTCAGTTTTGGTCTGTGATATTTCAGTGTGTTCAGTTTCTGGTCTGCGATATTTCTGTGTGTTCAGTTCTGGTCTGTGATATTTCAGTGTGTTCAGTTCTGGACTGTGATATTTCAATGTGTTCAGTTCTGGTATGTGATATTTCAATGTGTTCAGTTTTGGTCTGTGATATTTCAGTGTGTTCAGTTCTGGTCTGTGATATTTCTGTGTGTTCAGTCCTGGTCTTTGATATTTCAATGTGTTCAGTTTTGGTCTGTGATATTTCAATGTGTACAGTTCTGGATTGTGATATTTCAGTGTGTACAGTTCTGGATTGTGATATTTCAGTGAGTTCAGTTCTGGTCTGTGGTATTTCAATGTGTACAGTTCTGGTCTGTGATATTTCAATGTGTACAGTTCTGGACTGTGATATTTCATTTTGTTTTTGCTCTTGTTGCGTGGTCAGGGCAGTTAGTCCACCGCTTCACCTCATCTTGATTTGCCATACTGGGCTCCACAGAGACACAAGCAGCAGCACCTGAGTGTTGAAGGTTTTTTTGCTGCTTGAGGGGAAAGTATCAAGGAGGGAGATACACCCGGCACACTTAAGTCAACAGAAATGGAACTGGACACAACAGCAGAAGTCTGCCTACATCTGCTCCCTCAAACCACAGGCACAGTCTGCTTCCTGCTGCTCTCCCTTCTTCCTCCTCTGTGAATGTGCATACATAAGTGTATGAGAGAGAGAGAGAGAGAGAGAGAGAGAGAGAGAGAGAGAGAGAGAGAGAGAGAGAGAGAGTACTCTAATGTATGTTTGGTTACATGTACATATGTGTGTGTGTGTGTGTGTTTTATCAATTGTACAATGTGTGTAAAGTTCAGTTGCTCTGTGTGTGCATGGTGTATATCTATGTGTGTATATGTATCTGCTATGTTATCCTCAATAGTTCAGTTGTTCTATGTGTGCTTGAAAATACATGCACACACATACATGTGCGCACACACACACACACACACACACACACACACAAACACACATGTGAATGCACACACACACACACAAAGGCACATGAGCACACAGACTTTAGAAAGTGCAGTTAAGCCCTGACTACCTGATTAAAAATGGTTTCTTTATGCATCAAGACTGTCTCAGACACTTTTGCATAAACCCAGTCCTTTTCCTATGAACCCGAGTCTTTTCATTGTATCACTTCTCTCCTGACCCAAACACTTGTTGTCTAGAAAATAAGGTGCCAGTACTCACCACAAAGTGTTTATTAGAGTGCCAGTACTCACCAAAAAGTGTCTGTTAGAGTGCCAGTACTCACCACAAAGTGTCTATTAGAGTGCCAGTACTCACCACAAAGGGTTTATTAGAGTGCCAGTACTCACCACAAAGTGTCTATTAGAGTGCCAGTACTCACCACAAAGTGTCTATTAGAGTGCCAGTACTCACCACAAAGTGTTTATTAGAGTGCCAGTACTCACCACAAAGTGTCTATTAGAGTGCCAGTACTCACCACAAAGTGTCTGTTAGAGTGCCGGCACTCACCACAAAGTGTCTATTAGACTGCCAGCACTCACCACAAAGTGTCTATTAGAGTGCCAGTACTCACCACAAAGTGTCTATTAGAGTGCCAGTACTCACCACAAAGTGTTTATTAGAGTGCCAGTACTCACCACAAAGTGTCTATTAGAGTGCCAGTACTCACCACAAAGTGTCTATTAGAGTGCCAGTACTCACCACAAAGTGTCTATTAGAGTGCCAGCACTCACCACAAACATTAAGTGTCTATTATTAGAGTGCCAGTACTCACCACAAAGTGTCTATTAGAGTGCCAGTACTCACCACAAAGTGTCTATTAGAGTGCCAGTACTCACCACAAAGTGTCTATTAGAGTGCCAGCACTCACCACAAAGTGTCTATTAGAGTGCCAGCACTCACCACAAAGTGTCTATTAGAGTGCCAGCACTTACCACAAAGTGTCTATTAGAGTAGCTATAAAAATATGCACTAAAATGGCCACAAGATGAGAACCTGTATTAAAGGGTAACAGCATTAGAAAGGTTGAGAACCATTGCTTTAAAACAAAGGTGCCGGTACTGTGTACAACCAAGAAACAGAAACCTTCTTTTTACTTCACCCACTATTTCCCCATCATTATTTCAAGTGATAAAGACAGGGATGTATATTGAGAAATATATAAATGAGACAGAGAAAAGGGAAACCTAGCGCAACTGGAAGATTCTACCTCCCCCCTCCCCTCCCCCCAACCTATACCCCCTCTCATCCAGATATTAAGAACTTGCCAGAGTACAGTCCCTGGATGCAGCGAGCAGTCTAGGTCAAGTGTCATGTGACCATGTCAATAAACTGTCCCCGTTTGCCTTCCACCAGGACACCTCAGTGGCCATCCAAGCTCTATCCATGTACAGCTTACAGAAGCACTACAAGGATTTGAACCTGCACTGTAACATCACATCCAAGGTGTTAAAGGAATATTTTTACTCTTTTAAATTTACGGAAGAGAATGCCCTTCTTGGCAAGTCTGTGAACAATGTGAGTATTTGTTTTTTGATACATGCAGACAGGAGGTCACCATTCAGGGGAGGGATAGAGAGAGAAAGACAGGAAAGTGATGGACAGAGTGTGTAAAACGAGCAGACAAAATGAGACTGAGAGAAATAAAGATGAAGGAGAGAAAGAATGAATCAAAAAAATTTCTTTTAAAAGAAGAGAGAGAAGGAGATAAATATTTTTGTATTAAGAAAAGATATGTGATAGACATGAAAAGTATGTATGTAGTTAGAACAGATGTAAGATAGATGGATGGTTGTTGTAGTCTTATTTGACTGTGGATTAAAACGTCAATTAGCAGGAAGAGGACAGGTAGAGGTCACACAGCCATGAATCTAAAGTTACCCGGCCGAGGGTTTTATTGGGTCATGATGAAATTGGTTCCTAGCTGAGAACCAGCGATGGGAGTGGCAAGTTGTAGTTGATTCCTGAGTGCCGGTAGATTTATCTGAGAGGAGAGTATTCGGGTGTTATCAAGAACAATAGGCTCTGGTCAACTTGTCTGGAGTTAGTTAGACTGAGGTATGGGAAGTGTTAGTTCTTGGGGTTTAAACTGTGGGAAAGAACTTGTGTTGTACAGGGGAATGCATTACCAGTGCAAAACAGGTGGAGATAATTAAAAGACTTAATTTAATTCTGGGGATAGAATTCAGAGGTACAGGCAGTTGGGAGACAGTCGAGATTTTGCTAGCGTCCAAGTCGGATGTGGGTTTTTGCCGGTTAGCGGAAACGCTGTGTTATCTATTTTTCTTTATGAGGATTTTGTAGTAACTTTCCTCTTGGTGAGGTTTGTGCTTGACCGCAGTTTATGGGAGACAGTTTGATGTCTGTTTTAGTTCCTGATGGCAGGTGTCCATTGAGTCAAGGTCATATTTGTTAAGATCGCCAGTGCAGATAGTAGAGACTTATTATCGTACATATATTCATCATCATTATCTTGTGACATGTAGGTATGTGAATGACATTAATGTTTATGTGGCCTGTCACAAGTTGTTATTGTTGACTCGTCAGGATAGTCACAATTGTATTTGCTGGTGCTGTGTTCAGTGTGCCCAGGTGTTATATTATGCAGGACGGCAAGTAGTTGCAGCACATCCATCAAGAAGAGACCCAGCCGCATATCAGTGTAGGCACCCTACATTACATGGTTGTTTTCAGTTACTAAGAAGTATCAGTGCAGAAACATAGATATATTATATGGACTAATGTAAATCAGTGCTCTGTACACCCATAGTCTACACAGGAGTTATACAAGAGTACAACAGTGGGGGCCAAGCGGGTCCTTGGATCTTTCCAGTGTTCACGCTACTGATTGAGGATCTTTTGAATGAATACATCAAACTGTTCACACAAAGACATTCTTATTGAAGAATCCTAGAAGGAATTTATGAACTATTCTTCTTGTGTATGCAGTACTACTGGATGTTCCTAGCAGCCTTTATGAATTTATTGATGTAAGATAGATGGATGGATGGGTGATCTGATGTATGGATAGATTCATGGCAGAAGGTAAAGTAGATGGATGGATGGGTGATCTGATGTATGGATAGATCCATGGCAGAAGGTAAAGTAGAGGGATGGATGAGTGATCAGATGTATGAATAGATTCATGGCAGAAGGTAAAGTAGATGGATGGATGGGTGATCTGATGTATGGATAGATTCATGGCAGAAGGTAAAGTAGATGGATGGATGGGTGATCTGATGTATGGATAGATCCATGGCAGAAGGTAAAGTAGAGGGATGGATGAGTGATCAGATGTATGAATACATTCATGGCAGAAGGTAAAGTAGATGGATAGATGGGTGATCTGATGTATGGATAGATTCATGGCAGAAGGTAAAGTAGAGGGATGGATGAGTGATCAGATGTATGAATAGATCCATGGCAGAAGGTAAAGTAGAGGGATGGATGAGTGATCAGATGTATGAATAGATTCATGGCAGAAGGTAAAGTAGATGGATAGATGGGTGATCTGATGTATGGATAGATTCATGGCAGAAGGTAAAGTAGGTTGGTGAATAGAAACATATAAAAATTGATCTGTCTTTTTAAAATATACAAATGTATTGGTCACCAAACTTGAAAAATTATTTGGCAATCTTGTCTTTGACCTGCTGCAGGTTCCGATTGGTCAGGTGCTAGATGTAAACATCAAAGGTCAAGGTTTGGGTCAAATGCAGGTCAATGTGGAGTACAACATCCCGATTGACAAGAACAAGAACTGCCAGTTTAAGGTCACGGTCAATGTCAAGAAGACGAAGGTAGAATGGTCACCAGACATACTCAGGTAACAAGATGCACCAGTAGTGTAGACAGTAGTGTAGACAATTATGTATCATTTTCCTATGGTTTATACAACCGATCAAAATTATGGGACAACGATAGTAACCTACAAGTGCTCCGTTCTACTCACTCAATGAGTCCTAAGAATCTCAGTGCTGTGCACGAACTCTGTAGCACCGGCGAGGATCCTGAAATAATTTGGTTAGATTTTTAACTCCAAATTGTTGCCTGGGCAGGGCTGTTAGGTTACTCTTTTAGATTTCCAACTACCAAGGGAATACTATGTGTGCAACAATACAATCACGCCTCCGGTCTTACTACCCAGAGACCCGGAGAAATTACTAGAAGTCCACATGAAAAAATCCCAGCCTTCACCAAGACCTGAACCCAGGACATCCAGCCCATCATGTTGTGTTTGTACAAAACGTGTGTATCATGTTCTGTTTGTACACAACATGTGTATCATGTTCTGTCTGTAGAAAAGTCGTGTATCATGTTCTTCTTCTTATTTTTGTTGGTCTAAGTTACTTAATCGTGTTGTGCCTGTTTAAAGCAAAGCTGTGATGTTTGCACCTTTTGGCTGACACAATAACTTCATTGAGCATTTGTTCACTGGGGTTCTTCTACTTCTTCTTCTCTTCCACCTTGTACCTCATCGAAGTGTCGGGGGGAGATGTAATGTTCGTTGATGGGCTCTACCAAGAGTACTATTAAGACTGATGTTCATATCTGTAAGGCTGTTCTTAATGCCATCACTCCATCTTTTCCGAGGTCTTCCACTCGCTCTATACCCGTTGTAACGTTTTAGTGTGGCTCACAGTGGCGGATAGTACCAGGGCATTCTTGTTAGGTGTCCAAACCACTTCATTTGTTGTTCTTTGATGACCTGTAAGACTGGCTTTATTCTTAGCATTCGTCGGATTTCATGATTTCGTATTCTGTCTTTCCTTGAAACTCCTGCAGCTCTTCTAAGACATTTCATCTCTGTTGTCAGAATTTTACGATCATTGGATGAAGTAAGTGTCCACGTTTGGCATTGATAGCATAGTGTTGGCCAAAAAATAGTTCTGATAAGATTCACTTTAGTACTCCGAGGTATCTGCTTGTGTGTCAACAGGGGAGATAGTTGACCCATTACTTGATTAGCTTTGGCACATCTGGAGCTAATTTCTCTGTCCAGTTTTCCGTCAGATGTAAAAATTGCTCCCAAATACTAAAATTCCTCTGTTTGTCTCAGGGTATTGTTTCTTAATTTAATTTCTAAATTGTCTTTATGTCTTCCTGTCATCATTGTCTCTGTCTTCGTAGTGTTTATTTTCATATTTTTTCCTCCCCTTTGTTACTATTTTGATTTAGGTGGTTCTGTAGGCATTCTGTATTTTCTGCTATGAGTACCTGGTCTTCGGCGAAAAGTAATTCTGTAATATCTTCTTCATGATTAAAGTTTGTTTCTCTACATATGGTATCCATGTATGTTATAAATAGAAGCGGCGATAGTACACAGCCCTGACGCACACCAGAGTTCACTATAAAAGTTCTTGACAACCCTGCCTTCGATCTTATGCAGCATTTACTAGTGTGTACAGGCTTTTGCAAATATTAATGAGATGATTGCTGATTCCTTTTTTCCCCATACATTCCCACAACATATTCTTGTCGACTCTATCGAAGGCTTTTTCTTGGTCTGTGAATGTCAACATACATGTCTTATCATGTTCTATTGCCCTCTCTGATAGTTGTCTCAATGTATAAATGGCATCTGTGCAACTTCTGTTTCTTCGAAACCCCATCTGTGCTTCTGAAAGTTTATACTCTATCAATGGTCTCAGCCTTTTTTCGATGATCTTAGCATACATTTTCCCAGTGTGACTGAGTAGTGATATTCCTCTGTAATTAGTACATTCCCTCTTACTTCCTTTATTTTTCCACAGCGGGACAATGACAGCAGTCTGCTAATCTAATGGTGTTTCTTGATTTTCCCATGCCACCTGAAATATTCTCTTTAACCAAATTGCTCCGGTTTCTCTTGCTGCCTTGATGGCCTCAGCTGGTAGATCATCAATACCTGTCGCCTTCACTGGGGTAACTTCCCATTTTTATGGTATTCTCTTTGTCCCCTTATCTTCACGTGTCTTCCAGGGGAACTGTGTGTAGACTGGTGGGCCCTCAAGGGAAGGAAGGGGCAAATCATGAGCATTCCCTGCCATCCAAGGAGGCTTCCATAAATGCAGAGCCAACACGTGATGCTCTGGTCCTGGGCTCACCCAATGAATCATCACATCATGCACATGACCACTTAACCTCACATCCAAATTTTGAGCTTTCCGCTCTTGATGGGCATTTAAGACGTTACAGTTATGTAATAAGACATGTATTTGACAGACATTTAAGACTTTACAGTTATGTAATAAGACATGTATTTGACAGACATTTGAGACTTCACAGTTATGCCATAAGACATGTGTCTGATGGACATTTAAGACTTTACAGTTATGTCATAAAACATGTATTTGACAGACATTTAAGACTTTACAGTTATGTAATAAGACATGTATTTGACAGACATTTGAGACTTCACAGTTATGCCATAAGACATGTGTCTGATGGACATTTAAGACTTTACAGTTATGCAGTAAAACATGTTATCTGACAGACATGTTAGCCTAATCAGCCAACTGACAGTGGGAGTTTGTCAATGTATACCTGAAATGATGACGATGACATTGAGGGTTGACAAAGGATGTATGGAGACAGGACTGTACCGCGAGATACTGCCCACCCGAGATGTGGCTCATCTAAGCCGCCAGCAAATCTCTTGTTCTAGGACCATGTCTCAGCAGTTCTGTGGTTTATTCACTTGACAGACGTTTCAACCAAGAGCTGTCATTTAGTGGTATATTTAGTGAGCCAGCTTTACTCAGGTTTTAAATGAGTTTTGTCGAGACTTTGCACCCATGGCCTTGCATTGGTTATGAGCTAAAGATTTCTGGGTACTGCATCTTTGATGGTCACCAACTCTGAGATCCCCGGCCGGCTCAGTTTATGCCAGTTTGTGCCATTATCTGTAGCACACAACAGGGAAATGTGGCAGGATTTTGCATTACGATCCATAAAACCATCCCAGAACTAGCTGCTTTCTGAGGTGAGGTACAGGGTAACTCCTTATGCACATCACAATAGCCTTAACTTTTTCTTAAATATGTAAGTAAAAACACATTACCACAATATCATGTTCTATCTGGACAACAATTGTATACCATGTTTTGTCTGTACAACAATGGTTTACCATGTTCTGTCTGTGCAACAATTGTATACCATGTTTTATCTGTACAACAATGTTTTACCATGTTCTGTCTGTACAAAAATTGTATACCATGTTTTATCTGTACAACAATGTTTTACCATGTTCTTTCTGAACTTCTTCTCTTCCACCTTGTACCTCATCGAAGTGTCAGGGGGAGATGTAACATTCATTGATCAGCTCTGTCAAGAGCACTATTAAGACTGATGTTCATTTCTTTCTGAACACCAGTAATATATCATGTTTTGTCTGTACACCAGTAATATATCATGTTCTGTCTGTACACCAGTAATATATCATGTTCTGTCTGTACACCAGTAATATATCATGTTCTGTCTGTACACCAGTAATATATCATGTTCTGTCTGTACACCAGTTGTTTATCATGCTCAGTCTGTACACCAGTAATATATCATGTTCTGTCTGTGCACCAGTAATATATCATGTTCTGTCTGTGCACCAGTAATATATCATGTTCTGTCTGTACACCACAGTGTTTATCATGCTCAGTCTGTACACCAGTAATATATCATGTTCTGTCTGTACACCAGTAATATATCATGTTCTGTCTGTACACCAGTAATATATCATGTTCTGTCTGTACACCAGTAATATATCATGTTCTGTCTGTACACCAGTAATATATCATGTTCTGTCTGTACACCAGTAATATATCATGTTCTGTCTGTACACCAGTAATATATCATGTTCTGTCTGTACACCAGTAATATATCATGTTCTGTCTGTACACCAGTAATATATCATGTTCTGTCTGTACACCAGTAATATATCATGTTCTGTCTGTACACCAGTAATATATCATGTTCTGTCTGTACACCAGTTGTTTATCATGCTCAGTCTGTACACCAGTAATATATCATGTTCTGTCTGTACACCAGTAATATATCATGTTCTGTCTGTACACCAGTAATATATCATGTTCTGTCTGTACACCAGTTGTTTATCATGCTCAGTCTGTACACCAGTAATATATCATGTTCTGTCTGTGCACCAGTAATATATCATGTTCTGTCTGTGCACCAGTAATATATCATGTTCTGTCTGTACACCAGTAATATATCATGTTCTGTCTGTACACCAGTAATATATCATGTTCTGTCTGTACACCAGTAATATATCATGTTCTGTCTGTACACCAGTAATATATCATGTTCTGTCTGTACACCAGTTGTTTATCATGCTCAGTCTGTACACCAGTAATATATCATGTTCTGTCTGTACACCAGTAATATATCATGTTCTGTCTGTACACCAGTAATATATCATGTTCTGTCTGTACACCAGTTGTTTATCATGCTCAGTCTGTACACCAGTAATATATCATGTTCTGTCTGTGCACCAGTAATATATCATGTTCTGTCTGTGCACCAGTAATATATCATGTTCTGTCTGTACACCAGTTGTTTATCATGCTCAGTCTGTACACCAGTAATATATCATGTTCTGTCTGTACACCAGTAATATATCATGCTCAGTCTGTACACCAGTAATATATCATGTTCTGTCTGTACACCAGTAATATATCATGTTCTGTCTGTACACCAGTAATATATCATGTTCTGTCTGTACACCAGTTGTTTATCATGCTCAGTCTGTACACCAGTAATATATCATGTTCTGTCTGTGCACCAGTAATATATCATGTTCTGTCTGTGCACCAGTAATATATCATGTTCTGTCTG